AGCAGTTCCAAGAATATGGCAGCAATATTCTGTTTTTGACTTAATCTGACACTTGTGAATATAAAACATGGTAGAAAGTACGAGATATTTCCGGAAGCAATATAGCAAACCGATCGTTTATCTGGCTTCTTTAATTAACGGGTTCTATATTACTTATTGGATGCATAAGTCCTCAAAGAATGGATTTATCGGGGGGGGGGGAATGGTAGCAATAATCTTGAGAATCGTCTTATGGTATCTTCTTAATCATTCCGCCTTTAGTATCGGTGACTGCTTCAATACGAGGGCGGAAACGTTGTCAAACCCGAATGAAATGTTGTTTAACTATTTTGTACATTGTGCTAGTTATGGCACACTTCTGAGTCTTTTTATTGACTCTCCAATTACGGTTATGATCAAAGTTTCGTCAGAGAAAACCAAATCATTCAGCTTGCTCAACAATCGATTTATTTTCAGCCCCGGTTTTCTTTTGTTTTTATATTATATATATATATATATATATATATATATATATATATATATATATATATATATATAAGGCAGGGGTGTATGTGTGTGCGTAACGAATGCACGGCCGAAATTTTCGACGGATTTACACCAAAATTTACATGCACATACTCCAAGTTAGCGGGAAGGCCAACACCGACTTTGCATTTCCCAACTCTCATCGATAGTGGAAATAATCGATTTTTCATGCTTCTACGGCAGTTTTCATGTAGTTTGCGACCATTTTCTACTGGCCAGAGTGAGAGCCTATAGCTGGCTGCCATGAATAGGCAGGAAGATTCTATTGGCCAACGTGAGAGCCAACAGCTGACTGACACGAATGTTAACTAGTATGCTTGCATGCAAAAAAAAAAAAAACAAAATTGATAGCTGCCTTCGTCGCAAGTGGGAAAAATTTAAATCTGCATGGCACTTTACTCCAATTGGCTCATTCGCTTGCTTAAACTCAACGTTGATTCTGATTCCGCAGAACTGGGTTGGGTGTGAAAAAGTATTTGTTGCTAACATTCTTTTTTCATTCGGTTTTTCCCGTTACGAGTCTTTTTTTTAAAGATGATCGTTTTGTGTTCATTTTGTTTAGTTCTTTTTTCGTAACAGATTTAATGTTTAGTATAGATCTTAGAAAAAATTCGCAGTGTGAGATAGGCAAGAAGTAAGGCATGTAGCAACATCAGCACGGCAAAGGGCACTCTTTTAAAGCCAAGGAAGGGCAAAAATATTTTAAGTCAAGTGATAGCGATTGTTGTATGAGTCGTACGATTTTTGAATCAAGCACGGGCAACGCCGGGACATATTGCTAGTATATATATATATATATTGTCTTTCTGCATCACATACCATTTGTACCGAAGGTTCCTCCGAAAGAGTGCCTTGAAAAATTCAGCCCCTTTGCAATTGCGTTAATGGATTTTCTGGGGTTTACACTCATCGCCTCTAACTTTGGAGATTTACAAGTATACGTGTACACGCGTTCAAGGCTATCAGTTGTGTCCTATTTAAAACATTGTGTTCTCTTTTTAGAATTTGGAATTTTAGGAATTGTGTCTTTCTCCAAAAAATTCTACACCCTGGACGGGAAGCAAGTAAATAAAACAGAAGGTATCATTTTCGGAGCGATCGCCTTATTCGGAAAAAAGAGGAAGATGCGTAAAATAAAGGAAATGAATGCTATGTTTATTCTACAGGTTTATTTTAAACCCATAGAACTTGTGCGTTGCCTCTCTATGTGTTGCATTCCTTCTGGATGTAGGCGATCATGACTCTCCACAATTTCCTGTCTTTCGGAGATCTGAATAAATTCTGTCTTTTTCTTACTTCTAAACCTTGTTCCACCATCCATGTACTCAAGCTCATTTTTCTTCTTTTCAGGATGTGTCATGGCTCTCCACCATTTCCTGCCTTCAGGTTATTTCTCCTAAACCCTGTTTTGCCATCCATTCCCACGAGCTGATTCCTCTTTTTCCATATGCAGTGTCCCTTCAGGACGTAGGCGATCACGGCTCTTCACGATTTACTTTCCTTTGTTGCTCTTAATAGGTTTTTGAGTTTTTTTTTTTTAATTTTTTGTTCCACCATCCATTTTTGTTATTTCTCCTAAACCGTGTGTTTCAGGACGTAGGCGATCATCCAATTTCCTATCCTTTAGCTCTTAATAAATATTGGCTTTTTGTAATTCCGTTCTTCTTTTCCATATGCATTTGTCCCTTCAAGGACTTTAGGACGATCATGGCTCTTCACAATTCCTGTCTTTCGTAGATCTTAATGAATACTTCTTTTTGTTGCTCTTTAGCGCCATTAGGTTTTGAGTTTTTTTTTTTGAATCGTTTCTGTGAGTATCAGATTTTCCGAGCTAAACCCTACGTACCCTAGAAATTTTAACCATCCAAGTTTTCATTTTTACACAAATTTACTCCAAAATTCGACGTTTCTTCTATGTTCGTGTCCATATCTTCAGCATACTTCGATAGAAGGCGATGCTGCTTCAAGTTTTCTTCGGCTCTCCACAATTTCCTATCCTTTGTTTCTGTTGCTTCAAGCTCTTAATGAAATATTGTCCATCATTTTTGTAACTGATATTCATAACAGTTCAGCTCTCAATTTCATCTTTCTGTTGCTTCACTTTTTTCATCTATGCATTGTGTCCTGATATTACCAGTATCTCTTTTCTTTTCAAGACTGTAAGCGATTTCATGGCTTTTTTTCCACAATTTGTTGTCTCTTTGTTTCTTTCATCTGTGAGGAGATTGTCCAGATCTTAATGAATACTGTATTTTAACAGTTCATCTTTTTTTCCTAAGCGCCATTCATTTGCTCCAGCATTCATCTGCCATATAGTAGGGTTACATAACAGTTCGTTATTTTCCCTTTGATTTGAATCGTTTTTTTGAGTATCAGATTTTCCAGCATTCCGTCTATAGGAGGACTGATATTACATAACAGTACCTTTTTTTAGAAATTTCTCTTCTTCATCTGTGAGGAATTGTCAGCATTCCTGATATTACATAAGTTCATCTTTTCTTTTTCATTTTGTTTCTTCATTTACTCCAAAATTTCCGACGTTGTTTTAGGAGGACTGATATTACATAACAGTTCAGCTCTCTTTTCTTTGTTTCTGTTGCTTAGTCTCTTCTTCATCTCCAGCATTCACTGCCATATAGGAGGACTGATATTAATCAGTTCAGCTCTCTTTTTTTTTGTTTTCAAGTCTCTTCTTCAAGTCTCTTCTTCATCTGTGAGGAGATTGTCCAGCATTCTTTTCTTTGTACCATATAGAAGGACTGATATTACATAATTGTCCAGCATTCAGCTCTCTTTTCTTTGTTTCTGTTGCTTCAAGTCTCTTCTTCATCTGTGAGGAGATTGTCCAGCATTCACTACCATATAGGAGGACTGATATTACATAACAGTTCAGCTCTCTTTTCTTTTGTTTCTGTTGCTTCAAGTCTCTTCTTCATCTGTGAGGAGATTGTCCAGCATTCACTGCCATATAGGAGGACTGATATTACATAACAGTTCAGCTCTCTTTTCTTTCTTTCTGTTGCTTCAAGTCTCTTCTTCATCTGTGAGGAGATTGTCCAGCATTCACTGCCATATAGGAGGACTGATATTACATAACAGTTCAGCTCTCTTTTCTTTGTTTCTGTTGCTTCAAGTCTCTTCTTCATCTGTGAGGAGATTGTCCAGCATTCACTGCCATATAGGAGGACTGATATTACATAACAGTTCAGCTCTCTTTTCTTTGTTTCTATTGCTTCAAGTCTCTTCTTCATCTGTGAGGAGATTGTCCAGCATTCACTGTCATATAGGAGGACTGATATTACATAATAGTTCAGCTCTCTTTTCTTTCTTTCTGTTGCTTCAAGTCTCTTCTTCATCTGTGAGGAGATTGTCCAGCATTCACTGCCATATAGGAGGACTGATATTACATAACAGTTCAGCTCTCTTTTCTTTGTTTCTGTTGCTTCAAGTCTTCTTCATCTGTGAAGGAGATTGTCCAGCATTCACTGCCATATAGGAGGACTGATATTACATAACAGTTCAGCTCTCTTTTCTTTTGTTTCTGTTGCTTCAAGTCTCTTCTTAATCTGTGAGGAGATTGTCCAGCATTCACTGCCATATAGGAGGACTGATATTACATAACAGTTCAGCTCTCGTTTCTTTTTTCTTTCCAAGTTTCTTAATCTGTGAGGAGATTTGCATTCACTGCCATATCTCTGATATTTCATCTGTCAGAGGAGATTTTGTTTCTGCATTCTTCATCTGCCATATAGGAGGACATGATGGACTTACATAACAGTTCAGCTCTCTTTTCTTTGTTTCTGTTGCTTCAAGTCTCTTCTTCATCTGTGATGAGATTTCCAGCATTCACTGCCATGTAGGAGGACTGATATTACATAACAGTTCAGCTCTCTTTTCTTTGTTTCTGTTGCTTCAAGTCTCTTCTTCATCAGTGAGGAGATTGTCCAGCATTTACTGCCATATAAGAAAAAAGTTCACTTCGGCGAATGTTTTTAGCATACAATCTGATAATTGTCCAGCATTAATATAAAAATTACGCCATTCTTTATATCTTATTTACTTCTAGATTTCATTATTTCAAAGCGTGATATTGATCAGTTAGCTCTCCCAACTTTGTTTTTTACTAATTTTTTTTTTGTGAGGAGATTTACCACTAAATCCATGCAGGAGCGTCCATCTTTAAAAAAAAATCTTTTCTTTTATTCAAGTCAATGTAACTGTCAGCATTCACTATCATTTCTTAAAAACAGTTTTTTAAAAATATCATGCCTCTTCTTCATCTATAACAAATAAATAAATAAATAAATACGCTTATAAATGTTCGGCGTTCGCCTGTCATTCAACCACAGATGAATTCAGATTTTTTCCCTTGTACGGCCACCCGTCTGTCAGGAGAGGACGTTCAATTTGAATGTCCCCCGAATCCCCATTTGGCAAAATCACGAAATCTTGATTGTGATCAATCTTCCCCAACTTGTAGAGCCACGACGTCGATCAATCCACGCATGCTTTTTAAAAATATCATTAAGAAACAAATAAATAAATCGATCATTCAACCACAGATGAATTCCTGTCTGTAAATAGAGAGGACGTTCAATTTGAATGGAATCCCCATTAAAAAAATCACGAATTACCAAGCAGAGGTCATGGCGGCCTGATCTTTGTTTGGCCAAGTTTAGCCGGTCATGGCGTTTAGATACATGCGTTTCAAGCAAGATAAATCGGCTTTAACTGTATTATAAGTCGTACGCTAGGAAAAGTAGGTCTGCATCTACGTTCGAACAAAACTCATAGAAAGCAGCCTATGATTTTTTTCCTCTTTCTATTTACTTTATTTGGATTTTTCTTATAAAGCCGCTATCATGCTACTATAAGTTTTTATTAACCTATCCTTTCATACTAAATTAAATCAATTTATGGACACTTAGGAGAAAATTAAATGCAGTTATTAAATTAGGTACCTCCAAAAGTTCGCTAAAGAAGAGCCTACCATGATGAAAAAAGTCCCTAAACTTGATAAAAACAAAATTTTATCGTCAAAATGTTTATGTCATTATTAAGAGAAATGACTAAAGTATTTTTTATTATTTCTTTAAATTTTTTAATCCATTCTAGCACTTTCGAAATTTTAGTTAAAAATCTTGTTTTTCTTACTCAGCGGGTGGACCAAAGATTAGGAAAATTAAGCGTCTTTTTGCAGTAAAAAACAGATAGAAAAAAATGCCATTGCTATATCTTATTTACTTCTTCTAGTTTCTTCAAAACGTGAGTGATCATAGCTCTCCACAACTTCTACTCTTACCAATTTTATCCTTTTACTGTACCTCCAAATCTATGGACGGGCGTCCATCTTTAAAAAAAAAATCTCGTTATTTCATTCTAAGTGTTTCTTTCTTACTCTTTGTAAAACATAATCCCTAGCCTATAACAAATAAATATATGGATAAATAAATAAATGAATAAATAAATAAATACGCTTATAAATGTTTGGTTATATTGATTTGGAAATTCTTGTAAAAATCAAATAAAAGTCGAATTTTAATGAAATCTGCATGACTTATTCACAAATTATTCTTGAACTTACTTTTTTTAGAAAATTTTGGCAAAAATAATTTTTGTTTACATCTGTTACCACCACATATATAATACATTATTTACATTATTCGGACTATTCTCCTCATCTTTGTCGCCATATTTATTACAACGTTTCGGCCTTTCAGTATCTGTCTATATTTCTGAGATGAGGTATTATGTACACTATTTACATTATTCGGACTATTGTCCTCATCTTTGTTGCCATATTTATTACAACGTTTCGGCCGTTGTATAAATAAATTTTCTTCAAGTGGTTGGAATGTCGAACATATAATTTTGTGAAATTTCGAGAAATGAAAGTTCCAGCCTGATTTG